GAAAACGCGTGAGAGAGTAAACCAACTTTCTTAGATGACCAAACAATAAAATCAATTTGTCAACAAAACGTACTTCTCTTTATTAAAAATGTTTTAAAAAATAAAACGGTACTGTTTTTAATTATTTTTTTTGTGAAAAAATTAACCGATGTAAAGTGTAATTAAGAAATATGATCAGAATATAACAATCCAAGATGAAAGATCGGGACCAATAATATTGCTGATGCTTCTTTTAATTTTATCAGGAATATCTAAATATATAGCAGTAGCACCGGGCCATATGAGGCAGCAATATTCTAAGCATGGACGAGTGGTAGACTTATAGATATGTAAGATAGATTCTGGAGAAAAACGCATGACAGAGTGAACCAACTTTCTTATCAGATGACCAAACAATAGAATGAATTTGTCAACAAAACGTAATTCTCTTTATTAAAAATGCTTTCAAAAATAAAACATCCTTTTTTGTGAAAAATTGACCGATTTGAAGTTTAATTATTAAATACGATCAGAATAAAAATAATCCGAGATGAAAGATCAGGACTAATAATATTGCTGATTCTTCATTTAATTTTATCAGGAACATCTAAATATATAATAGGAACAGCGTGCTATATGTAGCAGCAATATTCTAAGCATGGACGAATGCTAGATTTATGGATATATAGGATAGACATTATTAAGACATATTGTCTAGCACGAATCTGCTGGAAATCAGCCTCAGGCATATTGGTGGAAGGCAGAAAGATGTCTCTCAGATGATTATGGTAACAGTATTCAATAAAGGGATGAATCGTAACCGGTATTCAAGAACTTAGGCAACCGTTTTGCACTCATTAGGTATGTTCACAAGAGACAAAAAAATGTCGTCTCAGTGCCGGGCGATCATATCACTTTCGATTTATGGCTGACTAGGCAGAATATATTCCCATAGCAGTTTGTTGTTTCTTTATGCGACAGACTGGCTGCCACACAACGCTAAAGGAGCGAATCTGTCTTACTATTTAACCCATAGCTGGAGAGAAAAAGGAGATGGGTCCATGCCTTTACTAACGGTATGTACGAATAAATGAATTTAACGAACACAACTGGAATTCGAACTCAGCGCTTCCATTTTACATTCAGATGCTGGTAACCATCCTCGCATCCATGAAAAGTACGAGGGTCATTCAATAAATAAGGTGAATTTTTCGGTATAAGGACTTCTAATACAGAGAGAAGATTACTTTTTCTTTTTTTCTTTTTTTGTTTTACTTCTTTTTCATATGGATTTAATTTCTTTTGCAGATTAAAAAAAAAAGATGGCCAACCAATAAGCATGCTCCAGGATTGAACAGCGGTCAGTTATCAAGTTTTTGGCTGTTGAAGGGTGCAAACCAGTTGAAATTCATAGGAGAATGTCAACTGTGTATGGTGCCACATATTTCAGCCAAAAAAATGTCTACAAGTGGGCTAAATTGTTTAAAGAAGGACGGAGCAGAGTTGAGGATGAAGACAGGCCTGGGAGGCCTACAGAAGTGAGGTCTCCTGAGGTGATCGAATCAGTCAATGACCTCATTCAGTCTGACAGAACTACTACTGTGAAGAAAGACATAAAGAACAAACACAGGGGTCATCAGTCAGAAGGAGTCATCTTGCATCATAACAACGCAAGGCCTCACACAGCAGCCCAAACGGTGCAGACTATCAACGAGCTGGGCTGGGAACTGCTCCCTCATCCCCCTTACAGCCCAGACCTTGCCCCTTCAGACTTTCACCTGTTTGGTCCCTTGAAAGCGTTCACGAGAGGCACGAAGTTTAAAAGTGACGATGAAGTCAAAAGTGTTGTGAGCGACTGGCTGAGACATCAGTTCAAAGATTTTTACGCTGAGGGAATACGGAAGCTTGTGCACAGATGGGAAAAGTGTGTGACAGTGCTGGGAGACTACGTTGAAAAATAGCAAAAATGTAAGCTTCTATCTGTATTAGAAGTCCTTATACCAAAAAATTCACCTTATTTATTGAATGACCCTCGTATAATAAAACAATAAAAATATAATTACTTTGTCAGTCTGTATATGCATTGACTACCACAGAAAAAGAGAATATTAACTCCATTTGAGGCAGAAAGTGGTCAGTTACAAAAAAAAATGTATTTCCAACTTTTTCTTTTAATCTTCACAAAGAGGCGATATTAGGGGAACTAGACGTCCGATGAGGGTTTTTTTTATTATTGCTGAACACAATAGTAATGCCATAACACGTGTAGATGCCATTGCATTCATAGGAGATGCAGTAAGATGCATAATTTCTATCTACATTGTAGTGAAGGAAAGCTAGAGGAAAGGACTAACTATCAATTGTAAAGGATAGTTGTCAGTAAGAGAAAAAAAGGAAGACACGTCAAGTCGGTGAGAAAGCGAGTGAAGTCGAGATGCCTGCTCAAGAGCTATATTTGTTCTTAATTGCCAGGTAATGTTAATACTTACAATGAAACAATCGCCATGACAAAAATGGTTAAGAAATACAGAAACTGCTTCTGACTAAATACATATTTTTTCTGGTAAAACATAATTTATCAGATACAAACAAGAAGGAGAAATTAAGTTGCAACAACATCAAGTGCGTCCAGGAATTTGTTTACAGAGTCTACAGAGAGGGACATCAAAATCTGCAAAGACAAGGCCTGGGGGTAGTCTTTGATGGTCTGAGCACAATCTGGAAGTCCTCTCTCTCTCTCTCTCTGACAAACTTCAGTGGGGAGTTCTTATAAGGCCACGGTAGAATCTGTGCTGCTCTACGGCTCAACAACATGCACACTGACGAAACACCAAGAACTATCACCTGACGGAATATACACAGATGTTACGAGTTGAATTTTACATCAGCTGGAAGAAACACCCAACAAAGAAACGCCTGAATGGACACCTTCCTCCTATCTCAGTTTTTCTAAGAGAGAGAATACTTCTGTGAGATGGTCAGTCCTGGAGAACTAAGTCAGAACTTGTGAGTGGCACCCTGCTATGGAACCTATTGCGCGGCAAAAATCGGTTGAAAGACCTCATCACATCTACACTGACCAACTTGTCAGGATGCCATCTGGAGGACTTGCTGATGGTGAGATGGTTGGAAGGATCGAGTCAGGAGAATTCGAAAATAATTCTCGACTTGATGTGATGTGTTTTCGTAGTGGTTGGTTGGAGTTGTTATTCAGTGTTTATATCGGTACGCTAAAATAAACAGTACGCCAATGACATTTATTTTATATTCCTTTGTAATTTATTTTTCTTATCTTCTAGTTTGCCGATGCATAATATAATTACTGTATTTAAAATATTTTTCTCTTTATTATTGATCTGGGAAGTGTCTTTCACAGGTGGAATACATTATTTTCCTCAATAAATATACAGAATGTATCAGAAATTCCTCCCACATAATGGTAAGACATTAATGGCAATGGTGTTTTCATCCAGCACCCACTAGGTTTGGACCCGCCATTCCACTTACTTAATAGCAAACCACCCATAATTCCCTTCCTATTCTAGCGAACAGCTTCTTGCCACGAACCACGAGAGGATGTTTCCCTAATCAGTACAATCTTAACCTGTTCAATCTAGAGTCAACTATTATTTTTTCTCCTATCCATATAAACTACCCATTGGTGAGAAGTAAGTTCCACTCAAACAGCTTCTTCCTACAAACCACTGCCTTATGGAAAAGACTCCCAAGGGGATGTTTCCCCGATCACTACATTCTTAACCTGTGCAAATCTAGAGTTAACCGTTATCATTTCTTCCTACCAATTATAAACTACACTTTAACGTATCCCTCTACCTCGAGTGGCCTCTGGGCCATGTACAGGTTTGAAACTTGCTAAAAAAAAGCGTCTTACCATTATGTAGGATTTATTTATGGGTGTTATATGTGAAAAAACAAAATTTAAATACGCATTTAACGACGATCAGTTACGACTGAATAGTGAGTTCGATCTTCACTGGGACCCCTTTAATTTTGACCTCGTGCCACATATAAGCTACGAGTAAATGGAACTGCAAATATTATATGGGTGCGTGGCCGAGTGGTCGGGACGATCGCATTCTGGCTATGAGAGCGGTGTTCGAATCTCGCCATAGTCGATTTGCCAAGAAGGCGACATCCTGATGTTATCGGACTGAATAATTGTATAATATATATATATATAAAGAGAGAGTGGGGTGATAGAAAGAGATAGAGACAACCACACGCATAGATATAAATCGTAATCACCGAGTCGATTTCGAATTTTCATATAGATGTCGTGTGTGTCTGTGTATTGATACACGCACATATATATTTCTGCGATTTTACATCGTGACGTGGATGGTTCCTCTTACTATCTACTTTTGATAAATTACATCTATTATAATGCAACACATAATAAGCATACCCTTATGTACATGTCCACATATACATACAAACCTACATACAAGCACACAAAAATATATCTATATCTTGTGTGTAAGATTATATATTTGATCATATTGTAATTCACAGTATATAAATTTCAGCAGAATTTCTCATTATATATATATATATATATATATATATAGAGAGAGAGAGAGAAACATATTCATATTATTAGGTTTATTTATGTAAGAATATATATATATATATATATATATATATATATATATATATATATATATATATAGTTATACATGTGTATACAAAGATATGAAGAGACTAGTGTATATATGAAGAGAATAGTATTGACAGATTGATATGAAGAGACCAGTGTAAATAGATGGATGGATAGATAGACACATATGAAGTGACTAGTATAAATACATAGATAGATATGGAGAGTCAGTATATATATATATATATATATATATATATATATATATATATATATATATATATATATATATATATATATATATATATATATATATATATATATATAGAGAGAGAGAGAGAGAGAGAAAAGACTAGTGTATGTGAAGAGAATACTGCTGATAGATTGATATGAAGAAAAGAGTTTAGATGAATAGATATATAGATAGGTAGATAGATATGAATTGACTAGTGTGAATAAAAAGATAGATATGAAGAGACGAGTGTAGATAGATAAATAGATATGAAGTGACTAGTGTGAATACATAGATAGATAGATAGATATGAAGAGACCAGCATAAATAAATAAATAGATAGATAGATAGATAGATAGATATGAAGAGACCAGCATAAATGGATAGATAGATAGATAGGAACAGACAAAGATCAGATATATATATATATATATATATATATATATATATATATAAAGATAGATAGATAGATATGAAGTGACTAGTGTGAAAACATAGATAGATAGATAGATATGAAGAGACCAGCATAAATATAAGATAGATAGATAGGAAGTGACAAAGATCATATATATATATATATATATATATACACAGATAGATAGATAGATAGATAGATAGATAGATAGATGATAGATAGATAGATAGATAGATATGAAGAGACTAGTGTATGTATGAAGGGATATTATTGATAGATGTGAAGAGACGAGTGTAGATAGATAAATAGATATGAAGTGACTAGTGTGAATACATAGATAGATAGATAGATATGAAGAGACCAGCATAAATAAATAAATAGATAGATAGATAGATATAAAGACCAGCATAAATGGATAGATAGATAGATAGGAACAGACAAAGATCAGATATATATATATATATATATATATATATATATATATATATATATATATATATATATATATATATATATATATATATATATATATATATATATATATATATACAGGTAGATAGATAGATGAAGTGACTAGTGTGAAAACATAGATAGATAGATAGATATGAAGAGACCAGCATAAATATAAGATGAATAGATAGGAAGTGACAAAGATCATATATATATATATATATATATATATATATATATATATATATATATATATATACAGATAGATAGATAGATAGATAGATAGGAGAGATAGATAGATAGATATGAAGAGACTAGTGTATGTATGAAGAGGATAGTATTGATAGATATGAAGAGACGAGTGTAGATAGATAGATGTGAAGTAACTAATGTGAATAAATAGATAGATAGATAGATATGAAGAGATCAGCATAAATGGATATATATATATATATATATATATAGATAGATAGATAGATAGATAGATAGATAGATAGGAAGTGACAAAGATCAGATATATATATATATATATATATATATATATATAGATAGATAGATAGATAGATAGATAGATAGATATGAAGCGACTAGTGTATGTATGAAGAGAATAGTATTGATAGATATGAAGAGACGAGTGTAGATAGATAGACATGAAGTGACTAGTGTGAATACATATATATATAGAGAGATATAAAGAGACCAGCATAAATAGATAGATAGATAGATAGATAGATAGATAGATAGATATGAAGAGACTAGTGCATGTATGAAGAGAATAGTGTTGATAGATAGATATGAAGAGACGAGTGCAGATATATATATATATATATATATATATATATATATATATAGATAGATAGATAGATAGATAGATAGATAGATAGATAAGCTGATTATTTCTGAAAAGTCTCTTCCTAACCGCAGGCTGGTCCTTTCGAAATTGTTATAAATATCTTCAGCGTGTGAAACGTGACAGCGCGCTGAGAGCGTTTTGATTCGTGTTCCAATGGGCGTGTCTTGCTAATATCCTCAACTATAAAAGCAAGGGTAAAAGTAATGGGTCTTCTTAAAATGGCGGCATCACTGCAATTTCTTAAAATAATTTCCTTCGAGTCGAAGTTGCACGCAATGATCTGCCAGAGCGAAACACGAGAACAGAACAGTATACGACAAAAAATTTAACAGCGACTTCCGAGAAAATAAAATAAAACCCCTCTGCACGAACATTTATAAGTAAAAATTCAAATATGTATATCGCTTATATATATATATATATATATATATATATATATATATATATATATATATATATATATATCTCTCCCGTCTATCTATCTATCTATCTATCTATCTATCTATCTATCTCCTTACATGGGTGTATGTGTTTGTGTCTTTTTTTTTTTGGTCTGTAAGGGTGTGTGTGTGCGTGTAAAATTTGAGATATAACTTAAATATATCTTTGTAAAAGGACATTATAAATAAAAACAAATCCATTAGCTATAGATTAAATAAATTCACCCACAACTTTGATGTAAAGAATCAGTCAGTCAGTTATGTGCTATGCGTGATTCACGCTTAGGCGATCATGTATCTTTCGATACATGACTGACGAGACTGTTTTTTTTTCCCGCAGTTTGTCATTTCTTACTGCAGATTACATACAAGGCTAGAGAACCCAGTCAGTCCTACTATTTGCCCATAGCTAGGAGAGAGAGAAGAAGAGGATTCATGCCTTTCCCAAGGGCCAGACAGTTATGTTCCTTCCGTGATACACGCTTAGACGATCATGTATCTTTCGATTTTTCCCGAAGTAGGTTGCCATTTCCTTTTTGCGGTAGACCAATTCCCATCCAAATCTATAGATACCGGTCTGTCCTGATATTTACCCATAGCTGGGGGAAGAAGAAGAGTGTTCATATCTTTCCCAAAGCTCAGTCGATTATGTGCCATGCGTGATACACGCTTAGGCGATCATGTATCTTTTAATACATGACTGACGAGGCAGATTTTTTTCCCGCAGTAGGTTGCCATTTCTTTCTGCGGTAGACCAGTTGACATCCAAGGCTATAGAACACGGTCAGTCCTGCTATTTACCCATCGCTAGGGGGAGGAGGAGAAGAAGATGATCCATACCTTTCCTAAAGGTCACACAGTTGTGTGCCTTGCGTGATACACGCTTAGGCGATCATGTATCTTTTGATACATGACTGATGAGGGGGATTTTTTTTCCTGCAGTCAGTTGCCATTTGTTTCTGCAGTAGGCCTATGAACATCCAAGGCTATAGAATCCGGTCCTGTTATTTACCCATAGCTGGGAGAAGAAGAAGAGGATACATAACTTTCCCAATTTTATTAGCCCATAATTAAATTTAATGGATTCGACTTGGATTCGAACTCGGCTCTCCGATTCCTCAATGCGAGCCGCTATCCATTACTCAACAGGGAAAATCTAGAAGAGGATTCATACCTTTCCCAAGGGTATTAGCACGTAAGTGAATGTAATGGATTCGACTGGAATTCGAACTCGGTTCTCCGATTCCTCAATCCGAGCCGCTATCCATTAATGCACCTTATTAAAAGAGAAAAGAACTTTCTTAGACGGAAAATTACCGAGATTATCGTTATCAAAATATAAATCTGCACCTAGGAGTTCTCAAATATCTCCGTTTCCAAAATAATTACTTTTTACTCAAGCCAATCCTCCTCTCTCTCTCTCTCTCTCTCTCTCTCTCTCTATATATATATATATATATATATATATATATATATATATTATTAGTATTATTAGCAATCCTATAGGTATAAGAAACTACACTCGTTCGGAAAAACTTGGGTGTCTTGATTTGCAAATAATCAAACCAATACCAAATGGGAAAAAAAGGTATAAAAATAGAAAGAACCAAGGACATGTACGTCAGCTGAAAATAATCGTCCAGCATACTAGTCCAAGGCCCAAAGAAAAAAAAACCTGATGCGATGGCGCAAAATAACTAAATAAAGTGCTCAATACAATGAGTAGAGCAGACCTAGTTAAACCTAGAGAGCCAGACAAACCTACCAAAGTTTCACCTAAGCGGATCATCAGGGAAGCGAGCCTTTCCTGACTACCCGCTTAGTTGAAACCTTGGTAGGTTTGTCTGGCTCTCTAAATTTAACTATATATATATATATATATATATATATATATATATATATATATATATATATATATATACAAGGTTGGTATAGATGGAATAATCTTCCAGTAACCAAAACACTATTAAAAAAAAAAAAAAAAACATATGAAAATTTAGGCATATTCCTCCACTCACTTTTTAAAAAAAATCATTTTGTAAGTTTCTATTTTTTAATTACATAATAAATTGCAGATTACTGATTTCCTATAAAATCTAATATTAATTTCAAAGCATTAATATATTGAATCTAGAGTCCGTCGTCGCCTTATTTGAATTATCATATATTTGTAATTTGATTGACCAATACACATTACATAAAAGTATTTCAACCAGTGAGGAAGGGGTTGCTTTTGAGCTCTTTAAGAAAACCTCTTTATTTCCCTTGCAAAACCATCACTTGACAAGACAAGCGAAATGTTGAAACAAAATCGGTATTTTTGTAGTGATGTTATAATATACTTATGTTATAATTTTTAAATAAATAAATAAATTAATATATATATATATATATATATATATATATATAGAAATTGGCATCATTTGTCGTAGGATTGACTGAGTTTCAGCTATGATAGTCCAAGGTGCAATTGAGAATAGGAATTGAGTATTAAATCGTAGAAGAAAAGTATAAGGCATCTTTTTACACCAGGACAAAAAGTTAGAAGGTTAGTGAAAGGTGAAGATCATCTTGATAAAGTTGGAAAATGATCCTAGAATAATATCTATATATTATTTTTAGTCTTTTTTGTAGGTCGATGCAGTGAATATATTTGTGCTTTCTACTAGTATGTTTATAATGGCGTCTCTTAAAAATAATGGAAGCTTTAATAATGAAAAAGAAAAAGCCAGCTCTTAACAATATTAACTACGAAAAAAAGCCACACTGTGCTAACCGTATTCGGAAATTAAAAACATCCCTACCACACACTAAGTCATACACAGAACGAACACACTCAATTAAACTGAAAAATCCAATCATCCTTGATAATGGCTAAAGGTGTAGCCGAAAGCGCTCGGAAATATAAAACATTTGGACAGTTCTTACACAACCTTTCTCCAAAAAAGAAACTCTTGTTCGAACACAAGAAAAATTGAATAAAAAGCTTAACCGTAGTACCTTGTCTGTCGTTTTTAATGAAACATATATATATATATATATATATATATATATATATATATATATATATTAAGGTAGGTACCAAAATAATAATGTACGGAAATTTATGTATAGACCTATTAAGTACAGATAAAAAATAGATCTGTTTCATCAACGGTTTTCTGAGCATTTTGGCATCAAAGATCGCAGACAAAAATGCTCTGAAAAATTCTCAATTTTGCAAGAATTGGCCTAAATATTGATGAGAAAACCAATTTCAGTATTTAAATCATGGAATGTTGTTATTTTATTTTATCAAAATGAAATAAAATGAAGAAATTATAACTAAACTTCAAATTGAAAATCTGCCTCCCGTCATGAATTAAGCAGTAATAGTTGAATATATTAAAAATTTGATTTTTTTTTCTATTAGTAATGAAAATACAACAAACAAACAAATTTGGAAAAACAAATTATAGTTTAAAAGGACATAATATGTAGAGTCAAATAGCTCCATATAAAAACCCTTAGAGAAAAATGATGGTCTCAATTTCTGACACAAAATTTTTGATATTATGTGCTAGTGCCTTGCTTCAAAGTCATACGCAGATTGGGAAACTTCTGTTGTTAACTTGATTACCTGTTTCATGCCTTGAGAATGTGAGGGCAAATCTGGTAAGTCAAGCTTCGTACCATTTAGTAATGATTCCCGAAGTTCATTTTCAGAAAATTCTTCTGTGAGTGGTGGTTCACAAAATCCAATTAATGACAGATCGGTTAACTGTGTCCAGTACATTAAAATTGATAGTTTTGATAGTTTTTAATCTTTTCTTGTCTGGCTCCCCACTCATGAAAGAATATGAAAATTAATTTGAGTTATTTAAAAAAATGCAATCTGTACTGCTTTAATATTTATGGTGAAATTAGATAAAATCCTTAAAATGGTTCTATAAATCGGCATAACTAATTTAGTCAGTTTTATATGAATAAATATTTATTCATCTAATGGCCAAAATTCTTTTTATAGCTTCTTCCCTCACTTCAAATTCATCAGATTTGACCATTGAATATAAAATATTTTCAGGTACTAAGGCGAAAGCATTCTTTGTATATTTTTCAATGTGATCTGTTGGATTTCATATGGTTGCTTCCTAATCCTTATACATTTCCTGATTGTGGAACGTGTTATTTCTTTTATTTTCGGACCAGCAAATGGCATACACATTCGCAATAAAATTTATTAAACTGTGGAGTTTGGTTGAAAGATTTCGTGCACCACAAATCCACCACCTTGCCTGGTTTAATGGACAAATTTTCTATAGTGCAAATCTAGAGTCCACCTTACCACTACAAATACCCACTGTATATTCATAAAGGAGTCTTTGGTCACAACTAAGGGTATCTGCATTTTCAATTTAAAAAATAGAATCCAGAGGACGACCAACAGGTGAAAATGATATTTGGGGTAAATTATGGTAATCATTTGCACGTAATCTTCCAAGTGGACCATTGAATGTGGCAGGGCTTTTTGTGGTACCATCTACATGTTTAAAAAGAGCTCTAAACGGAAGTTTATTTTGGTGCAAGGAGCAACCAATAGTATGAAGATTTCTGTTAAGTTTTCTTTCTAGAGGTGCAACAGGTCCACTTTCACAGCCTGTATTGACACTGGTGTTGTCAACAAGAATAGCCTTGATAGTGCTCACACTGTTGAATTCATGCAAAACATCGGCCCCTTGTTCGGCAAGAGCAGCACCAGTTGCACCAATATTAGGAAGAACCCTATGTGTCAGATATTCACTTTCATATGTCATCTCCTTTGTGACAGTCATGTGGCGTTCTGCTCCCTTGGTTTTTTTTCAGAGTTTTCTCTCCATTTTCTTCTACCATTTCCTTGTACATGAGTGTATCTTTGTCAGTCCTCCCATCAACTCCAATAGAAACAAGATTTTCCA